TGGTTAGGTTATGGATAAAGGTCATGGTTAGGCTATAGAAATGAATGAAAAATGAATGGAAGTCAATGCAAAGGCCCCACAAAGATATCAAAACAAACCTGTGTGTGTGTGTGTGTGTGTGTGTGTGTGTGTGTGTGTGTGTGAGCAGCAGGTCAACACCATCCAGTGGGCAGCAGCTGTCACTTTTCCTCTCCGACCTCCCAGATTACATGAGGTGAACCTGCGGCCGACACAAACACTCAGATGGTGGTGGTGGTGATGGTGGTGGTGGTGGTGGGGGGGGGTCCCAGACTCTTCGTTCATCGACCGGTCTGGAAGGTCGGAGTCGGGTGGTGTGGGGGTGGGGGTGGACTTACGGTAAGGGTGACCTGAGAAGCAGGGTGGGGGTGACTTTAAATCACACTCTCCTACATTCCTGGTGCTCATTTCTCTCCAGTTGTTTTATTTAAATTTCATTATTATTATTTGGGATTATTTTTCCATTCACAGTGCACTGACTCACCTTTTACTTGTGGAATTATGGGATGTTTTATGTTCTGTTTAACACTGTGAATCACATGCAGACCTGCATGCTTTTTAAAAATCCATGTCCTTTATGACTCTACACTGCCTCCACTTTGCACAACAAACCTGTTTGATCAGGCACCGTCGCCGGATTAATACATCTTTATTTATTCTAATATAGTTTGATGCAATAATTACACCCCCCCCCCCCCCACACACACACACACACACACACACACTTTCCCAAAAGAACAGCAGGGAAGCACAGCTGTTGTTTTTGAGAATTTTTGATCGGAGGCAAAATCTTGAAGGCCTTTAAAATGACAAACTGTGTTGCCTTTTAATTCCTCTTAGATCTCTTAAATTAAACGGAACCGAGCCGAGGGAGGCTGTAAATGATGGGACAAAGTTTTATCTTTAAAAGCAACAAAAAAAAAAAAAACATTTAGGGGGAATATTTAGGGTGACAATAAATAAAGCACCGAATCATTCTTATAAATCATAAGAGGTTCTCCTGTTTCTGTCTTGATATTTAACAACTGAGCCACAGCTTTAAACAAACGCACAGTAAAATGTGTGGCTCGATCAGGAATCCTGTTCTATGACAACACGTTGGGTGTTGATGAAATCTGACACAAATTATGTAAAAATGTCAACATACATCCAGTCCTTTTAGGAACTGTATGGTTTATATATTTTATTCTTTTACAGTAGAAACATCAAAGTTTA